TTGGGAGAGAACTTGAAGGGATGGTAAGGGTTTGGGGAGAAGGGGGGCATGGGGAAGGGGATGAGTCATCCTTTTGTTGTTTTTACATCCTCCCATCCGTCACGCTTTTTCATCCTCCTTCCTCCCCCACCCCCATCCCCCCAGCTTCCCCCCTCCCCTTAACCCCGCCCCTCCCACTCCCCTGTCCCCCACTTACGTTCCATCTCTTCTTCACTCGTTTCCACAGCTCTCCTCCCTCCATTTCCTCTTTCCTCTCTTCGGTATCCCCCTACTTCCTCCCCTTCCTCCCCTTCCTTCCCTTCCACCCCTTCCTCCGCCACTTACTTGCAATCAGTCTGTGAAATAAATGACAGGTTGCTCATCATTCCCATTTCTCGCACTCAACCTCCACCTTTCTGCTCCCCCCACCATCTCCCACCCACCCCTTCCTCCCCCCACCCACTGTCCCTCCCTTCGCGCTGTGCCCGCGCAGGTGGACCTGGAGAAGATATCATCCAACACGCACGGGTTTGTGGGCGCGGATCTGGCGGCGCTGTGCACGGAGGCGGCGCTGCAGTGCATTCGCGAGAAGATGGACGTCATCGACCTGGAGGACGACAGCATCGACGCCGAGGTTCTCAATTCCATGGCCGTCTCCAACGACCACTTCTCCACCGCTCTCGGCATCTCCAACCCCTCCGCGCTCAGGGAAACGGTCAGTGCCGGTGGCTTGCGCACTGTGTGGGCTTGGGGAATGATGGGGTGTGGGAGTGCGGAGTCTGATTGGGAAATGAGCCCGTTTTTGCAGATGGAAACTGGTTGCGAAGTAGTGGACTGGTTGCAAGGCATAGTGCTTTGACGTCTCCTGCTGTTTCCTTGTCTCACTCAGGTGTTTGTGTTGGTGTATGTGCGTGGCTGTGTGTGTGTGCGTGTGTGCATGCGAGCAGGTTGTGGAGGTGCCCAACGTTTCATGGTCCGACATTGGAGGCCTGGACAATGTCAAGAGGGAGCTGCAGGAGGTGAGCCCACTGCACTCTTGTACGCTTCATATCGCTCTGCGTCCTGTGCCGCCCCACCATCATTGTTATTCTCTCCAGTTTCAGCCATCCTGTTCTTCCCTATCTCCCCTGTTCCTCATCCTCCCGCTCCCCCACCCCCCTCATTCCCCTGTCATTCCATTTTTGTATGCAACCCAACTCCCTTTTAATCTTCGTACTCTTTCACTCCCCTGGTTACCTCCCACCTCCACGACCACTTAACCCAACTGACCCGTCTTCATGCTCCTGGGACCCTGGGTTGACTCCTCTCACCCCCCCACTCTTCCCACCCCACCCGCCACCCCAGACGGTGCAATACCCGGTGGAGCACCCGGAGAAGTTTGAGAAGTTTGGCATGTCGCCCAGCAAGGGCGTGCTGTTCTACGGGCCGCCGGGGTGCGGCAAGACGCTGCTGGCCAAGGCAATTGCGAACGAGTGCCAGGCCAACTTCATCAGCGTCAAGGGCCCTGAGCTGCTCACCATGTGGTTTGGCGAGAGTGAGGCCAACGTGCGTGAGATCTTTGACAAGGCGCGCCAGTCCGCCCCCTGCGTGCTCTTCTTTGACGAGCTCGACTCCATCGCCACCCAGCGTGGCAGCAGTGTGGGCGATGCAGGAGGAGCAGCGGACCGAGTGTTGAACCAGCTGCTGACGGAGATGGACGGCATGAACGCGAAAAAGACGGTGTTCATCATCGGCGCCACCAACCGCCCCGACATCATCGACCCCGCGCTGCTGCGCCCGGGCCGCCTGGACCAGCTCATCTACATCCCGCTGCCCGATGAGGCCTCGCGCCTCAAGATCTTTGAGGCTGTGCTGCGCAAGTCCCCACTCGCCAAGGAGGTCGAGCTGCCTGCTCTCGCCCGCTACACCCATGGGTTCAGCGGTGCTGATATCACGGAGATCTGCCAGCGGGCGTGCAAATATGCCATCCGGCAAAACATTGAGAAGGTGCGCTTGGTGTGGGAAAGGGCAGGGTGGTGGTGTGTGCGGGGCACATTTTTGTGTGGGTGGCTATGGTTGCAGGCACTCGATTCATTCGTCATCATTACATGTGGTGTTGTGCTCTCTTTGCAGTATCCCTCTTGCGCTGAGACTCCTTTTTATTTGTCTGCGTGTTTGGCACTGGCAGGACATAGAGAGGGAGAAGAGACGGGCCGCTAATCCGGATTCGATGGAGGAGGATGAGGCGGATGAGGTGGCTGAGATCACAGCAGCGGACTTTGAGGAGGCCATGAAGTTCGCTCGCCGCTCAGTCAGTGATGCCGACATCCGCAAGTACGTGCTGGGGCTTCTCTAGCGTCAGTGAAGCTGTCATCACTGCTTCCTTGGGCTCCAAGATTGTTTGTTGGTGGACAATCACATGTAGCTGTTTTCTCGAGCCTTTGCGTACATGGTTTTGATGTATTTTCTTTGCCATGTTCTCCTGCTCCCGCTTATTCCTTCTTGACAGGTACCAGGCGTTTGCCCAGACGCTGCAGCAATCTCGTGGATTTGGCACCGATTTCCGTTTTCCAGATCGTCCTGCTTCTGCAACTCCAGCTGCGGCAGGGGCTGCTGATGCAGCTGCCGATGACGATGATTTGTATAATTGAGTGGCCATTTTTTGTGGGGATTGCGCATCGATTTCTGTGTACCATCGTATATACTGAGTTGGTGTCTACATATTTTGTGTGAACACTAGGATTCGAGGATCATTTCAAATTTGTACCTAAAGTAGATGGGGAAACAAGAATTTGAGTAATAACGTGAGTCATGTTAGCTCTTAGTGGAAGTAGCGAGATTTGTTCAAACGCGAGTCTTGCTTCCAGCCGGATGTGCTGCAAGGGTGGATGCCACGTGATGTGGTGTGGCGACACACTGACATGGCGACGTGGGAAGGAATCGCCCATCGTCAACAGCCTTGAGACCTCCCGACGTGAGATTTCTTTGCACCAACAGATCGCCGTCAATCTCCTTTCAGCGCTGAATCTACGGACGAACGCGTGTCCCGGGGAAAAACAATTTGGTTGCGAACTATTCGATTCGCTGAATTCGAGTCGTGGTTTGTCAACATGTCAGGCACGCCGACTTCTCCTTGACCCTTCCCGTCAGTCATGCGAGCCTCGTTGTCCATCACGGAATCGCATGGACCTTCGTCGTCGAATCGCACGGCGCACAAAAGTCGTCATTGAAGGCATCGAAACACCCACCCAGCACACCGTTCGCTCGAGTCGCAAACCCAAGACGCACCGCATTCCAGACCCCATTGATGAAAACATCGGCCCATTTTTCTCACCGCCAAAAGCACCTCCCGAGCATCCAAAACAGCCCTCCTTCCCTGCTCACTCCTGTCTTCACACCACCCCACTCTTTTCCTGCACCAAGCAAACTCACTTCCGCAGCCATGAGGACTCGTCAAGCAATTCTCCTCTCAGCGCTCGCTCTCCTAGGTCTGTCACCTTTCTGCAATACGCTCCGCTAGGCAATCTCTCCCGTGCTAACGGTTTGCGTTCCTCGCTTTCATGCGTCTCGTTCTTGCAGCCCTGGTCGCTGTGGCGGACGCGCAGTGCACGTCGACTTTCGAGAGTTGCGATTTTTTCTTCCAGGGCTTCCGCGCCAAGCCGCCCACTTTTGTCCTCTCCAGGCGCCAGGTCAACCAGCTTCTCAGCTCGCCCATCCTCCACAGGTGCGCGTTACGCCCGCCTTGCAGGTCGCCAATCGTCGTTTCCTTGCTCGGCTACGGATTGATATCGCATACTTCGTCTCTAAATGGTTGTCGGTGTGTGGTTTGGCGGTGTGCAGGAAGGGATTCCCCGTGATCACCGCAAACAACAATGGCAACCGTAGCTGCGAGGTAACACCGCAAGCCCTTTCCTTAACCTCGTTTTCGCAGCTTCGCCAATTGGCCTCACCGCCTATTCAGTTGTTTATTTCACGCTTCTCGCGTCCCCATTTGGACCTCATTTTTCTGAATGATAACCCGAGCTTACTCTCGCTTCCGCACTTGCTCGTTTGCTGCGCGCGATCCCCAACAGGTGGGCCCCAAGTGCAGCCCGACGTTCTTCTTCCGTAACCAGTACCCCGGCCCGCTCTACGTCAACCGTGCCAACCGCCTCGCCGCGCACCCCATCACGCCCGAGAATATCATGGTGAACTCTCCTGCCCGCGCCCTCGCGCCCCCTTTGCGCCTCGCTCTGCGCACTATCCCCCTTGTTAGCGCACGTTCTCGTCGAGACGCCAAGGTTTTCGGCTGTTTCTGTTATCATCGACTCTTCGTAATCTGTTTTGTTTCTCTCCCCGACTGGCTGCGTGCGCATGTGCCGTGTGGCGTTAACGCGACTCGCGTGCGGCTCGCGTACGGCATGCGCGTGGCGTGCGTGTGTGGCGCGCGTGCGGCGAGCAGCAATACCAGGGCAAGTGCATCCTGCTGTACATGGACAACCTGCAGATGAACCAGATGGGCTGGCTCAACCCCAACGACAACAAGAAGGGCTTCCCCGAGGTCAGTGCCGCTGCGCCTCTCCTGAACCCCGCTTCGTGCGCGGATAAGGGGCCATGACACTCTTGCAATTGTTCAGCGTTGTTATCATATGGTGCATCGCGTCGGCCTCGTCGCCTTTTGTTGTTGTCCCTGCCACTCGGTTTGACGCTCGTTCTTATCTCCGTGCCTCTCGCTGCCCTCTCTCTCACGACAGAACCGTCGGTGCATCGTGTACTATACGAGGGTGGGGAGGAAGTAGCGGCTGTCGTTTGTTATTGATGTGGTGGAGAAGGGGCATCTCGGAGATGATTGCGTTGCGTCCGTTGGTAGCCTGGCAGACGTGGGTTTGATGGTCAGTGGGTTTTGGAAAGTATGCTATACTGGGTTTTGGAAAGTATAGGGGGCTTTGTTACGCAGCTAGAGCTGCTTGCTGTTACACGGAATAAACGCGTTTGGCTTCTCAGCCAGAGGCTAAATCTAGGGCTGCTTATATTGTTACAGTTCGTCATTTAGTTGTGTTAAACTAAAGTTCAATATTAAGGATGGGTGAGAGTTCGGCAGCAAGCTGCTTGGCCGACTGGAATGTTATTCCTGTCATCCCCATGCCTCGTGCTGCTAGCACATTTGACTCCCTGCATGTTGAGAAACGTGGGAATGCAGTTGCACACAGATTGTAGAAACGTGGAATTAATGTTGCTGAGGAGAATGATGTGATGGGTGGAAAGAGGGATAAACGGCCAATCTGAGTATTGGGGAGTGTCAAATGGGGCTGGGAGCAAGAGAGGTAGGAGGAAGGGCGGTGCACCTGTCATCAATGAAGATGCATGTGGAGGGGTCAACAGTGAGGGTTGCCAGCGCTGCTTCATACGCCTCGGGAGAAGGCTTGCGCACACCTGCCCATGCATCCATGCATGCATGGTGAGCGATAGTGAGATGGATGGCATTACAGGCTTGAGCAAGAGGCTCAGGCACGAAGTGTTTTGATGTTCTTGCAGTGAGGGATGAAGGCGATGTGGCTCATTGCATGAATGCACATCATACACCCATGCACCACCACACATCCATGGACCATCGCACTCCCATGCACCACCACACACCCATGCACCATCACACACCCATGCACCATCAAACACCCATGCACCACCACACACCCATGCACCATCACACACCCATGCACCACCACACACCCATGCACCATCACACACCCATTCACCATCACACACCCATGCACCATCACACACCCATGCACCACCACACACCCATGCACCATCACACACCCATGCACCACCACACACCCATGCACCATCACACACCCATGCACCATCAAACACCCATGCACCACCACACACCCATGCACCACCACACACCCATGCACCACCACACACCCATGCACCATCACACACCCATTCACCATCACACACCCATGCACCATCACACACCCATTCACCATCACACACCCATGCACCACCACACACCCATGCACCACCACACACCCATGCACCACCACACATCCATGCACCATCACACACCCATTCACCATCACACACCCATGCACCATCACACACCCATGCACCACCACACACCCATGCACCATCACACACCCATGCACCACCACACACCCATGCACCACCACACACCCATGCACCACCACACACCCATGCACCATCACACACCCATGCACCATCACACACCCATGCACCACCACACACCCATGCACCATCACACACCCATGCACCACCACACCCATGCACCACCACACACCCATGCACCACCACACACCCATGCACCATCACACACCCATGCACCACCACACACCCATGCACCATCACACACCCATGCACCATCACACACCCATGCACCATCAAACACCCATGCACCACCACAAACCCATGCACCACCACACACCCATGCACCACCACACACCCATGCACCATCACACACCCATTCACCATCACACACCCATGCACCATCACACACCCATTCACCATCACACACCCATGCACCACCACACACCCATGCACCACCACACACCCATGCACCACCACACACCCATGCACCATCACACACCCATGCACCATCACACACCCATGCACCACCACACACCCATGCACCACCACACATCCATGCACCATCACACACCCATTCACCATTGCACATGGCAAAGCGCACCCATGTGGCAGGAGACGAAGGTCCAGTGCAGGTAGCGTGAGAGGCGCAGCTTGTCCTCTATCATTTGGTACCTGCATGCCATGCCATGCATGCACGTACAGCGGGATATGTTCAAACATGCATGGCGTTTATGTTGCACACATGTGGAGCAGTGGGACATGCAGAGAGGGACATGCGCACATGTAACACCAACCCTGCGACTCATGGCTGTTGGTGATTGAACAGAGGGCACACTCGGGAAGCATCCTAGTGGGAGTGAACACGCAAAGTGGGTGAACAAGGAGAGCCGGAGAGGAAGCTAGCGACAAAAGAGAGAGAGGGAAAGAGGGAACTGGGGAAGGAGGATGGAAAAGGTGGAGAGGGAGAGTATGGGGAGGCTGGAGGTGAGAGGGAGGGTACCAGGGGGGGTAGTTGGTGAAGGCATGGGTGGCAAAGCCGTGAGCGTTGAGGGCAGCGAGCAAGGGCTCCATGCCCTCCACCCACTCGTACGCCCCCTGCATCGTTGCCTTCAGCCCTGCCAGTGGCAGCAGCACACACACGAGGCAGCGAGACAGGGTGTGACAGCAGCTGTGGTGGCGGCATGGTGAGAGGCATGGCTGCACGATGAGGAGCAGTGATGCACACAGAGGCGTGGCGAGGCAGGGGTGCAGAGGAGCAGCAAGGTGGGGGATATCAGCCCCCACTGGAGAGCTTGCAACAACCACTCCTCCGTGCTGCTATTTTCCACATTCCACGCATCTCTCCCCCTCCCCCCCTTTCCCGCTCCTCTCTTGTGAGTGCATTATGTGGCGGCGTGCAAGGCAGTGGGGGCAGGGAGGGGAGGAGCGTGCCTTGCAGGTCGAAGTGACGGCCGTCAGCAAAGAAGCGCTGGTGCAGCTGGTGCTCTGATATGCGGCCGCACTCAAAGTCCACCCACGCCGTTGGGTGCTTCTGCTGCAGCAACTCCGGCATGGTCATCCTGCCATGGGGGGAGTGGTGCAGGGAGAGAGAACGCGAGGAAGGGGAGGGTGGGGCAGGTGTGAGAGAAAGGATCGACGAGGGGCGAGGGCGAGAGAGGGTGTGTGTGAGGCAGGGCGGGATGACCAGGTGAGGATGGAAGGTAATGGTGGGAAGACCTCGTGGGAGGGTAGGGTGCAACGAGGGCAGGCTAAGGGTTTGTAGGAGCAGTGGCATGCATTCATGGGCGTGATGAAGGTGCGTGTAGGGAGGCGAGAACGAGGCAGGAGGGCACATGCAAACAGGGTTGATGCATGTGCGGCAAGAGGTGGAGAGGGCAGGGAGGGGCAGGGCGGAAGGGGATGGCAGGGAGGGGAGGGAGGGGAGGGGGAGCGGGAGGGAGAGAGAGAGGGGTGGTGGGGGGAGAGGGAGAGGGAAGGAGGAGAGACGGAGAATGAGAGAAGGGGAGGGGAGAGGGAGAGGAAGAAATGAAGGGGAAGAGGGAGAGGCGAGGCGGGAGGGGATGAAAGGAAGGTTATGGTGGGACGGCGGGGTTTCTAGGAGCAGCGATATTATGTGTGAGGAGGAGAGAACGAGGGACGCCGGCACACGTGAGCACGCATGCGTGGCGAGAGGCGGGGAGGGCGGGGAGGGCGGGGAGGGCAGGGAGGGCAGGGGAGGGCAGGGGAGAGCAGAGGGCGGGGGAGGGCAGAGGAGTACTGGAAGAAGGCAGGGATGTGGTGGTAGAAGGGGTCGCGCACTAGCGTGTCCATCACGTCAAACAACAGCACCACCTCGCCGCCCCTGCTGCCACCCTCGCTGCTGCTGCTGCTGCTGCTCGTGCTCGTGCTGTTGGTGCTGGTAGCACTGCTGCTGCTGATGGTGGTGCTGGTGCTGGTGCTGTGAGGAGTGGCGCTGGATGCATTGATGGGTGCCGCTCTGCTGCTGTTGTTGCTCCACGCGCCACCGCTCGCCCTGCTCCCACCTGCACACCGCACAGCGCTCCACATGAAAGGTGCCGCACAAACCACATGCAATCACGCGCCACGCCATGCCATGCCATGCTATGCGCACAGCAACGTGCATTTCAGTCTCAAGCGGCGCGCATTTCGTCCAAAGCAAGCCACAAGCACCCGGTCTGCCCCGCCTCCTCCTGCGCCATCCTTCAACTGCATTCCGCTCTCCTCCCCCCCACCCCTCACGCATCTCCCCCTCACCTCGCGCTTGTCGCGCCATGCCCATTCCCCGCCACCCGCGCCTGCCTGCTCCCCCCCCAACCAGTCCACCGTCTCTCCTCTCCGCGGGCTCCGCTCCGCGCGCCTCCGCTATCGCCGCGCACGGGACGGGGCAGGCGTTGGCGTGGGGAAGGCGGACGTCCATGGGGCGGGATATTAATGTGGCGGAAGGACGGTGGAGACGCGGCGCGGAGGGCGGCAAGGTGAGGGCGCGGAGAAGCATGGTGGCGGCGCAGCCACGAGTGCTTAGAGTGCCGACACGAGACGCCAGCGGGGCGCGCAGGTTTTGACTGAGACCGTTGCGTAGGATTGAGAACTTCTGCTTGCCACTGCCTCTTTGCTGTTACTTATAAGCAAATGAATACATAGAGAATAATTTAGTTATATGGTGTGAAGAATAGACATTTAGCATAATTACCGGGATATATGCATATATGGGATAGGATTATGACGTGGAAAAAACAAAAAACCAATGGACTGAGAAAGTTAGAACGAGAATGAAAATGACTATGAGTGAAGTGAGTACAAATAGGAAACTCTAGTTGGGTTGTACCCCCTATGGGATACCCCAATATAGCCTACACAAATAAGTAAGCTATAATATTCTGACGCACCCCCATAGGCAAAGTGGGGGAGAACAAGGGGTCACAAGACCAGTCAAGCAAAACAAAGCAAAGCTCAGGGTGGATCACAAAGTCACCACACATTCCGAGCACAAGTTCAAGGGCCACAAGGCCAGTTCACATGCAAGACCATATATAAAGATCTACAAGAGTCAAGCAAGCAAGAGCAAGAGTATATATATAGGTCGAGGTACAAGCAAGGTCAAGAAGTGAGCAAGTGAGGCAAGACAGGCACAAGACCCAACTGCGTGCAGCAACGCTGATGATCACAAGGCGCAAGTGCCTTGGTGAAGACATCAGCAGTGTTGGCCTCAGAGGCCACGTACGCAAGTCGCAACTGTCCACGCTGCTGTAGCTCACGAGCAAGAAAGTAGCGGAGAGCAATGTGCTTTGTCCTGTGCTCCAGTCGCTGCTCTCGACACAATGCCAGCATGTCCTTGTTGTCTACGTACAGGACTGGAGGAGAACGAGGCGGCTCTCCAAGGTCGGTCAACAGGTAGGTGAGCCAGCGTAACTCCTGTGCAGCCATAGCCCCGGCGTAGATCTCAGCCTCACAACTGGAGCCGAGAACAGAAGACGAGCGGGTAGCCCGCCACGAAACAGAGCCGGAACCAAGGCTGAAGGTGTAACCCTGTGACGACCGCTGCGTAGCCTGGTCGTCAGCCCAAGAAGCGTCCGCGTGCCCAGTGAGGACCACTGGACTGCGCCCTCCAAGCACTAGCCCCATGCCCGACGTACTGCACAAGTAGCGCAACACCCTCTTCGCTGCAGCCATGTGCTCTGGTCGGTGTCTCCCAGGAGCAACATAGCGTGCAAGAATGCTAAGAGGGTATGCAAGGTCAGGTCGTGTGCAGGTCATCAGGTACATGAGGCAGCCAACAAGCTCTGCATACGGGCCACTCGACTCTATGGACTCATCCGAAGGCAGAGCTGAGAGCGAGTGGCGAGTAGGCAGAGGAGTGGCCTGAGGCGAGGAGTACGTGAAGCCGAAGCGCTGAAGGACCTGCTGCACCATGTGTGACTGAGTCAGGGTAATGGTGCGGCGTGCTCTGTCTCGGGTGATCTGCAAGCCAAGGTAGCTGCGCAGTTCACCCAGGTCAGTGCATGTGTGTCTCTTCTGCAGCTCGGAATTCACGTATGCGAGTCCAGCAGTGTCAGCTGTGGCAAAGACCAAGTCGTCGACGTACACGAGGATGTAGAACGGCGGCAGAGAGGTGTCGGTGCGCAGAAACAGCGACGGGTCGGCAGTAGAAGGAGCAAACCCAAGTGCCGCCAGTGTAGTCCTCAGTGTGTCTTGCCACTCACGTGGCGCTTGGCGGAGACCGTAGACTGGACGCCGGAGACTCCACTGGGTACCAGGAGGGAAAGACCCAGTGAAGCCAGGTGGGCGACGCAGCCAGATCTCCTCGTGCAGGCTGCCCTGCAAGAAAGCTGTGCTGAAGTCGAGAGAGTGCAGCTCGTAGTCACGGTGAGCAGCAACGTGCAGCAGTACCCGAAGAGTGGTCATCTTCGGGGTGGGGGAGAAGGTCTGAAAGTAGTCAACTCCCTGCCGCTGACTGAAGCCACGAGCCACGTAACGCGCCTTGAAGACAGGCGGAGAACCCGGCGGCCGCTTCACCCTGAAAATCCACATGCCACTGACGATGTTCGCCCCAGGAGGGGGAACAGCGTCGACGTAGGTGCCTGTGGACTTCCAGGAAGCCATCTCTCCATCCATAGCTGCCTGCCACTGAGAGGAGTAGGGACCCTCTATCGCCTCCGCGTAAGAGCGCGGAGTCGGGATGTCTAGTGCATCCGGGTCTCCCTCAGGGGCTAGCAGTACAGACGCGAGATGAGGTGAAGCGGCGGCCAGACAGTGGAACTCCTCCTGCCTGTCCTCAAGGACGTCCGTGCCAAGGGCACACTCACCCCCGACGGACGGAGGACAGGCAGACTCAGACTCAGCGACAAGACTAGTAGCGTAGTCTAGACGACAGCGCCCAGCAAAGTCGACGAGCTCAGTGACAAAGGCAGACGCAGCAGAAGACTCGAAAGAAGGGTCAGTGACAGCAGTAGCAAGGAGACGCGTGACAGTAGGACTGGCAGCACGAAGAGAGTCCGACTCCGGGTCGGCAAGAGCAGGAAGAGAGGAAGCAGGAGGAGAAGGCAAAGGGGCACGCAGAGGAGCAGTAGACGGACGCAGAGACATCCGGTGCGTGCCAGGGACAGGAGGAGGACGCTGACGCGAACCGCGACCACTAGCGCGCGCAGTACGAACAGGCGACGCAGGACGAGACGCAGGCTCACGACGCTCAGTAAGACCTCCAGTCGGACCAGCGTAGGGAGAAGGAGCAGGCAAAGGTGAGGCAGGCTGTAGCTGTGACTGTGACGAGACAGGCTGTGGACCCTCTAAGGGAGGAGGAGGAGGACCAGGAGAAGGTGTAAGACCAAGAACCTGCTGCAGGAGCGGAACGAAGTACGGCCGGGGCCGCGCAGCGACGCGAGAAACAGCAGGGACAGCACCAGTACCCCCAGTAGGAGTACCCGCTCCAGCAGCACCTCCTGTAGCTCCAGAACCTCCAGCAGCACCACGAGGAGCACCGCCAGTCGGACCTCCAGCGGCAGTCTCAGCGTCAACACCCTCAGCAGCACCAGCTCCAGGAGAACCCTCAGACCCAGCAGCTCCAGCACCCACAGTACGAGCACCGCCGGGACGCTCGGCAGCAGTACCCTCTGCAGCCGAAGAACCTCCACCACCAGCAGTACGCCTCCAGCGCCTGGCAAACCACTCACGTAGCTCCTGAGGGGAGAGTGGCTCTCGGCTAGACGAAGCACCTCCAGGCGGAGCACCCCCAGTCGCAGCACCCCCAGGCTCAGCACCCCAAGGCTCAGCACCCCCAGGCTCAGCACCCCAAGGCTCAGCACCCCCAGGCACAGCACCCCCAGGCTCAGCACCTCCAGGCACAGCACCCCCAGGCTCAGCACCCCCAGGCTCAGCACCCCCAAGCTCAGCACCCCCAGGCTCAGCACCCCAAGGCACAGCACCCCCAGGCACAGCACCCCCAGGCTCAGCACCTCCAGACTCCGCACCCCCAGGCTCAGCACCCGCAGGCGGAGCACCTCCAGTCTCAGCACCCCCAGGCTCAGCTCCCGCAGCCGCACCAGAGTCACCAGTGACCTCGACAGGCTCGACCGCGTCTACCTGGGACACACCTGAAGGGGCAGGACCCTGAGGGGGGAGGGGGTCTACCGGGGGGGGACCTGGTACCAAGAAGAGCGGGGGCGGGGGGAGGGACGGAGTGCGGTAGGGGAAGAGGCGGTAGTAGGGTACCGACTCGTCGAACGTGACGTCCTGGGAGGACAGAACACGTCGAGAGGTGGGGTGGTAGAACTGCCAGCCAGGGGCGTCGAGGGGGAACCCCAGGAAGACGCAGGGAGCAGCGCGAGGGGACAGCTTGTCCGCAGACAAGTCGCGGACAAACGCCCGAGATCCCCAGACCCGGAACGCCGACGCATCGCCAACCTTCCCCGTCCACAGCAGCGCTGGGGAGGTCTCCGGCCTGGAGACCCTAGGGTGGAGGTTGATCTGATGCGCTGCGTACCTGACCGCAAACGGCCACAGAAAATGGGGGGCAGCCGCATGCATCATGGACGTACGAGCGACGTCCATGACCATGCCAATGCGGCGCTCTGCAATCCCATTTTGCTGCGGGGAGTCCGGAAGCATGAAGGTCTGGCGGATGCCTCGCGCACGACAGTAGGCACGCAGAAGGCCAGAGGAGAACTCTTCGCCTCTGTCCGAGTGCAGACGCAACACAGGAAAGTCCGAGCCAAAGCCCTGCCTGAGCTGGAGACGAGCTGCGCGGATCCAGTCGATCAGCACCTCAGTGACATCACCCTTGCTGCGCAAGGGGAAGACTGTGGTGTAACGCGAGT